CTCAGTGTATTAGGAGGAGTTTGGTGGCCTCTTTTATAATTGTGTGCTAATTTCTAGTCATTATTGCATCATGCTCTGAGATTATGGCCACTATAAGTTTTTTAAAAAATAATTCGAGGGTTTCTTGTGGTTCGGTAATTGAGCAGTACACATCTTTTTTATTCAGATGAGGTTGTAAGGTGAATTTGACCATCAGTGACTTCCCCGTTTGAATAAGCACCTGACAATGGCCCTATGGGGAAAAGAAACAATCTCATAGATACAGAGAACAGATTGAGGGGAAGGGTAGAATGAAATAGGTGAAGGGACTCAAATAAATAAGTCATGGGGATTTAATGTATAACATGGTAACTATAGTTAATAATACTGTGTTGCATATTTGAAAGTTGCTAAGAGTGTAAATCTTAAAAGTTCTTATCACAAGAAAAAACTCTATAACTATGTGAGATGACGAATGTTAACTAGATTTATTATGGTGATCATTTCACAAATATCAAATCACTATGTTGTATATCTGAAACTAACATAAAGTAAGGCAATTATACCCCAATAAAAAAAGCAAAAAAAAAAAAATCAACCTTGGGTAACAGAGTCAAGATCTAATAGAAGTGTTCAATATTGTACCTGTAGCCACGCATATTCACTGTAAGAGAGAACACCCAAGGCCATGAGAGTATCTTTTGTAGGGTCCAGGGGTGGGACAATAGGTAGACCATGTGTCCACTTCCTCTTTCCATTCATTATTCACTAAACTTAATTTATAGGCCCATTTTATTTTTTAATGTCTGGTGGGAAGACTGCTAAACTTGATCCAACCATATGGATAAGTTGGCAAGGTTCAATTGGCTGTGTTCTGTTCCTTTAGCTAAAAGGTTTGGTCTCTGGTACGTGGAATATAGAAATTCATGACTGTTATATTTTCTATGTTTATCATGCTCTTGATCAATAAAAAGAGTTTTCTTCATGTTTTTTTCAATTTATTTTATTTTGAATTTATATTGCAACTGCTGTTTTCTCTGTCTTTACTTTTCTCATAAATTTTTCCTCATTCAAAAGAATCTTTCTGAATCATTTTGATTTAGATATCATTTTGGTTGGGTTTTGAATTTTTACTCAATCTACAGGCCCTTGTCATTTAATGTATGGAATTTAATCTATTAATATTTATGTCAGAATTGAAATTTTGTGTTATTGTATGTTTTCGGTATTTTTTATGCATCCTTGGTGTTATCTTAGTGGTCTACCTTTTGTTATGAAATAATTTCTCATTCTTTTTTAAGTAATTTGGAAGTTCTGTTTTCTGTTTTTAATTCAACTTGTGGTTACCTTTAGTTTTTTTTTTTTAAACTTAGTTGAACTTACATTTATCTAATCATCAGCAACAAAAATAAAAGAATATCTATTCATTCTTTCTCTCCTTCATGAAGGAGTGTGAACACTCCTGGGATCACGCAGCCAGGAATCTGGACACTCTGAGCAAGAGTCACACAAGCTGGGGTGTAGGCACACTTGAGGTAGCACAAACTGGGATGTAGACCCCTATGAGTGACACAGAGTGCAATTCAGAAATGCTGACATCAGAAAGACTGGGTATAGACACTCCTGGTGTCAGACTGTGGTATGAACATTTCTAGGGTCACACGGACTGAGGTGTGGACATTCCTCAGGTCGCCGAGACTAGAATATGGACATTCCTGGGTACATACTGGGATATGGACCTACTGAGGTCACATAGACTGGGGTATAGATACTTCCAGGGTGATACGAACTGGAGTTGGACACCTGTGGATCACACAGACTGGGGTGTGGAGACTCCTTGGCTCACACAGTCAGGTATGGATCGTGGAACTGTCTATACTCCAGCCTGTGACTCCACTACAATCCACATTTATTTCTGTGAACGGTTTTGTCCACATTGCAACTCTCACCCCATTATATCTGACTGCAGTCTGTAGGTCACTAGTAGTGACCACTTTGAAGTCCTTATTGGTCCAGTAATTTTCATCCCCAATATTTGAACTCAGACTGGAAAGCCACTAATGCTGGAGTATTTACCATACTCCAGCCAAAGGGGCATGGAAATTGAGACTTAATAGTGGTCTAGGTTTAAGGTCAGAAAATAGGGCATGGATGATGGACTAGTTTAGTTAACACATGCCAGGATCAGTGCTCTAAAATGCGAGACTGTTGATGGTGAAATTACTAACAAAAACCCTTGTTTAAGGTCAGGCCAGAGGGACATTAACACTGGTAGCCCTGTCAGAGGCCCCAGTGGAAGGCAACACCACCACAGGGGAATTGACAGTGGAAGAATTAACGGGGATTGTGGTTCAGTCAGATAAGAAGGGCATTGATGGTAGAAGAAGAGTTAATGCACAGGGTTCAATAACAGACCAGAAAATCACTGATGGTGGAATAAAGAGACTGAGATTTGAGGTCAGATAAGAGAGGCCAGGGTTTTTAATTAGTTAAAAATTATTTTGTTTAAATATCTAGACAGAGAAGTGTTGATGTGTGAAGAGTTAGCAAATGCTTGAACTCAGACTAGAGAGGCATTCATGGCATAAGAGTTACAGAGGTCCTGGTTTAGGGTCAGACCAGAGAAACAGGGATGGGGCCATTCAAATAAATATCTGGGTTTGAGATCAGTCAGGAAGGGAATAGAAAAAACAGAGCCTGGGGTTTGAGTTCAGATTCTAGGGGCACCGATGTTGGAAGAGATAACTGTACAAATTCAATGACAGACCCACAGGGCACTGGTGACAGCACTTATCAGAGAATCAGGTTTGAGGTTAAACCAGGGGGTAGTTGATGGTGGTATAGTTAACAGAGAACTGGGTTTGTGGACAGGCCTAGAGTGAAGGAATAGGAATATTTTGAAAGTTAAGTGTTGGATAATTAGACCAGTAGATCTTTGAATGTGGAAGAGTAAACAAGTTCTGGTTAAGAATCAAATAGATGAGAGAGCAAGGATAGTGGAAGAGCTTTGATTAGGGACAAGGATGACATTGAAGGTGAAATGACAATAAAAGAGACCTTGTTTGGGAAGACACCAAAAGGACATCGATATTGTAGTGGTTAACAGTGGATCAGGTCTGAGGTCAGACAAGTGGAGCATTGTGGTTTAAGAGTTAAAGTGACCTGAGTTCAGAGTTAGATGAGAGAGGATTGAAGTTTGAATAGTTAAAAAGAATCTCAAGTGCAACCAGTGCAGCATTATTGGATGAAGAATTAACAGAGGTTTGGGTTTGATTTGAGATCAGAGGGGTCTTTCAGTTAGAATATGAAATGAAAGCCTGGGTTCAAAAGAGCAGTAATGGTAGGATACTTAACAGAGACCCCTTGTTTTTAAGGTAGACCAGAAAGAGGCTGATGGCGGAATTGTTAATAGAGGAGGTCAAAGCAAAGATGTGCAGATCTTGGAATAGTACAAAATCAGATCAGGGAGTCTCAGTGTCAGAATAGTTAACAGAAGTCTCTAATCAAGATCACACCAGAGGCCCAATGATGGTGGACAGTTTATAGAGGTCTGGGTTTGAGGTCAGGGCAGAAGGGCACCAGCAGTGGAATAGCTAACAAAAGCTCTGGGTTTTGGTTGGATAAAGAGGCTGTCATGTTGAATTAGTTAAGAGATGTCCATTTGAGAATACGGATCAAAGAGGGTCTTGATGGAGTAAAAGCTAACAAAGTCTAGATTTGATGTCAGACCAGAGATACCATGATGATTCTAGAGTTCAAGAAGGCTCAGTCAGAGCAGAAGGCCAGTGATGGTGGAATATTAACCAGAGGTCCAGAATCAAGGTGGGACCAAAGAATAGTCAGCAGAATTTTAGTTTCAAATAAGACCAGAGGGGTATTGATGGTGGAATAGTTTGCAGAAGCTCGGGTTCAAGGTCAGAACAGAATGGAAGTGATGATGGAATAGTTAACAGGCACATGAGTCTGAGGTCTGCACAAAGGGGATCAATGCTACAAGTATTATCAGGGTCCTAGGTTCAAGATCAGATCAAAGGGGCAATTATAGAGGAACAGTAAATAGAAGCCAGGGTTGAAGGTAAGATCATAAGGGTATAGATAGTGGAATAGTTTGTTGAGGTCAGGCCAGAAAAGCATCGAGTGTAGAAATGTTAACAGAGGCTCAAGTTCAAGTTTCAGACCTGATGAGCATTGATAATGAGTTAACCAAGGCCTGGATTCAAGGGCAAAGAGTTATTAATGGTGGAATCGTAAGTAGAGTTCAAGGTTGAAGTTTAGACCACCATGACACTGAGAGCGGAAGAGTTAAAAAAAATTCAGGTTTAAAGTAAAACCACAGGTCTTAATGATGGAAGCACTATCAGAGGCCCAGGTTTAAGAGTGGACCAATGGTGGTAGAGTTAAAAGTACCTGGGTTTGAGGTCATACTAGCGTGGCATTGGTGGAGGAAATGTTAAGAGATGAGCAGATTTGAGGTTAGACCAAAGAGACAGTGATGATAGAATAGCCAGTTAACAGAGGCTTGGGCTTAAGTTTGGACCACATGGGCATTAATGGTACAACTGTTAATATAGAAGGGCAGATTAGAATTGACACCATAAGGGCATTGATGGTTTAAAAAAATTAGTAAAGGCCCAGATTCAAGGTCAGGACTGAGGGTTCTCAAGGTTAGAATGGAGCAAAAGGGCAATTAACAGAATCCCAAGTTCAAGGTCAGATCAAAAGACAATAGCTGGTGGAATATTATGCAAAACCTTTGGTTTGAGAATTGGCCAATAGCATACCGATGGGGTAATAATTAACAAAGGCCCAACTTCAAGCTCAGACCAGAGAGGCTCTTGATGAAGTAGTTAAACACACAGGTTCAAAGTCAAAGGGCATGGAACAGTTAATGGAGGCCTGGACTTGAGGAAAAAACAGAGTGGCATTGCTGGTGGAATGGTTAAGAGTTCCAGATCTGATGTTAAACCAGAGGCATAGTGATAACGGGCAAGTTAACAGAGGCCCAAGTTTGACCAATAAGATTATTTTTTAAATTATTTGCTTATTTATTTTTCCCTTACATTATAAATCAAAAAAAAGTATAAGGAAGATGACTTTAAAGCAGAATGTCAACTCTGCCACTTCGAAATTGCACGAGGAAACCTCCAAAGTCATGTATAACAACATCCATGATCAGCCATCTTGAATTGACTCAATAAAGAACATAGAGTGTGAAGAAGAAAATGTTAGAGAAAAATGAGGTTCTCCCAAATGATCTTGCCCATCCACCGACCTTCAATGAGACTGAGCATCTTTTTGGTGTGGCATACTGTGCAGAAAAGAGTTAACAGAGCAGGCCTGAAGCACTCTCCTTGGAAAAGCCTGCTTCAAGGTTGGCCCTTGGCTGGCATCTAGAAACTTAGACTTTGAAAGGGTTCTCATCACTTTCTAAATAAGATGGCCTCACTATGCCTAAACTGCTCATACAAGCACTATGGTTTACAGTGAATACCTGCTTCCCTTCTGAGAGTCTGAAAGTTGGGTACGTGCCTAGCAGGGGCTGTCTACATGGCCAGCCCACAGTAAAAACCCTGGGTGCTGAGTCTCTAACGAGCTTCCCTGGCTGGCAATGTTTTGCACATGTTGTCACAACCCAGGACTGGAGGAATTAAGTGTGTGTTGTGCGACTCCACTGTGAGAGGATCCATGGAAGATTGTGCCTGGTTCTCCCCTGGACTTCACCTCATGCAACTTTTCCCTTTGCTGATTGATCTCTGTATCTTTTTACTGGAAGAAATCACAGCTGTGTATACCATCATATGCTGAGACTGAGCGTCTTTCTGGCAAATCATTGAGTCTGGGTTGATCTGAGGACCTCCAACACACATACATACATGATCTTGATCATGAACAGTCCAGCTCTCTGATGTCCCTATCTCAACACCATTTACCATAAGGTCTGTCAGTTGGAAGTACAGTAAGTCCTCACTTAATGTCGTCAATAGTTCTGCGACTTTAAGTGAAAGGACACATAATGAAATCAATTTTACCACAGGCTAATTGACATAAAAGAAAGATAAGTTCTACAGCATTTCATCAGTGCTATATTCGAGGACCCGCTGTTCTAGGTAGAAATGCTTCTGGCTGCAAGTAACCATACTGTCAAATAACAGTGGCTTGAACAAGACTGCTAGTGTTAGCTCAGCAGCTCAACAAAGTTGGGCCAGGTTGGAGTCTGTGACTGTGGACTCTGAGGTCTCGAGGTGGTAGCCACATTTCCCACTGATGCCTCTGGACGTGGCAGCCTATGGAGGTGGAGGGAAGGGAACAGCTAGAGGAAGAGGCTCTTTGACATTTCTGGCAACTTTGATATTTCCTGGTGACTCGGGTCATTGACAAGGGACTTTGGTTATCTATCCCCATCACATTCCAATTTTCTCTCCTCACTCAGCACTCCCCTCAAATACTGAATATCACTTGGTGGTCTCTGAGCTGTTCCAGGCCTTGACTTTGGGTGGGCATGGAAGGAGCTTTGGATGGTCTGGGGATCCTCTGGGGATGGAGTGAACCATCACTCCTCCCACCCCCCAGAAGGAGCCACTAGCTAAGTCTTAGGGGTCCATGGTTGCTCCCACACCAGTGTGCACTCCAAGTCCTCAACACCTCTGCTCCATGCTTGTGGGCAACCACCTGACCTGTTGCTCAGACAGGTGTGGAGTCCAGGCAGCAGCTGCGCTGGGCTTCCCTGAAGTGGTAGAGCCCTACATCATAGGATGAAACCCTGTGGTAGAAGCCAACATTTGCCACCCTAACCCCGCCACTGTCCCCACTCTGGCACGAGTCCCCATCATGCTCACCTGAACTACTGCAGGGTCTCCTGACTGGTCCCCCACTTCTGCTCTTGCCTCTCAGGCTGTTCTCTTCACAGTGCCCAGAGGGATCCTCGTACAACCAAGTCAGATCATATCCCTCTTCTGCTCAAAACTGTCCAGTGGCTCACCTCTCTCAGACAAAAAGCCCAAGTCTTTACCGTGGCCCACAAAGCCCTCCAGGATCAGGCCTGGCCAACCTCATTCCCCGTACCAGCCTCTATAACCATCCTTCTGGCACACTCCAGCCTCACTGCGTTTGCACTGCCTTTTCTCTCTGCCTAGAATGTTCTTGCTCCTTACATATTATCTATGGCTCCCTTTTCCACTTCACTTAGGTCTTTAAATTTCACTGTCAGGAATGTCTTAGCTGACCTATTATATATTTTTGTCTTATTATCTACCTGCTTCCACTAGAATGCAAGCCCCAGAGGGCAGTGCCTAGAATAGTTCCTGGCACACAGTAGGTACTCAGTAATGTCTGTCCAATGCATGACTGTAAAAACTTAAAGTGGTGCCTATGACATGGCAGACATTCAGTAAATGGCTGTTGAATGAGTGAATAAATCAATGCATGCATGAATGAGTAAATAAGTGAACCCCATCCCATCCTGGGGCCTAGAGCTGCCCTCTCCCTCATGCTGTCCCCAGCAGCCCTGGGAGCCAGCTATCGGCACAACCACAGGAACTTTATTTACAAACACAAAGCTGGAGCATGGGCCGGGTGGGAAGGTGGACATGGCAGGGGCTGAGAGGCTCCTACTTCTGCTCCCGCCTCCAGACAATGACCATGCCGCTGGCGTCACTGGAAGCCAGCAGGCTCTCGTCACAGTTGAAGCTGACATCCAGCACAGGGGCGCTGTGGCCCTGCAGCTTGTTGACAGCGGCCTTGGCTGCCCGCTCCACATCAAAGAAGTGCACGCACATGTCCTCGCTGCCCGTCACTGCCCAGGTGAGAGAGAGAGGCCATCAGGAGGTGTCACAGAAGATGGTAGGGTGCCCTGGGTGTGAATTCTCTGAGGTGACTCAGGTGTTGAGGGATTTATGTCCAAAGTGTGAGGTCCCAGTGTGCCTTGGGTGGGCCTGGGAGGCCAACCCTAGATGGGAGACCACCTAGCAATTTTGGTCCTGTGTCCAGAGTGTGAGGTCTCTGAGCTCTTTGCAGAGACAGGAAGGTTCTGTGTCTCATGTTGTGAGGTATCTGGGCTGGTTGGGTTTCTGTGTTCAAAGTGGGGGGCTGTGTGGGTGTGAGAGGTCTCGAGGCCCAGGCAGTCAGGGCATCAGAGTGCTGTGATGTCTGAGCCAGATCAGCACCAGCCCTGGTGCCTGCCCCCCTCCACAGCAGCTTGGACACCCCAACCCTATGGGACTCACCCACACAGGCCCCCTGGCGGAAGGACATGAGGGGGCAGAAGATGCTGCGCACGGGGTGTGAGCTCTGCTCGATGGGGAAGCTTCTTTTCAGCTGCAGGGTCCCCTCGTTGTCCACCACCCTGCGGGTAGGATAAGAGCAGGTCGGGGCACAGCCTCAGCCCCAGAGAGGGACGAATGGTGCGCTAGCCTGTGTCCCCACCCCTGCACTTGGGTTCTTTTCAAGGTTCATGAAATCCAATTTTGAGACAACTGCATAAACCTGTAAAGTGTGGGCTGGTGTGTGGGTTTAGTGACAGTTTGGAAACTGCATCTGTTGATATAAATGGGGAACCTCTGCAGTGTAATTCACTGTTTCTCTTCCTAAAGGTCTCTAAGAGATTCTGGCATTCAGATGGGCACAGAGGAAATGGCTGACCACACTAAGGCACCCCTACACTGTGGATACCACACGGCCAAAGGAATGAACTGAAGCTATTGCAGGTGACTTGTGGCATGAACACAGGCATTGTCGGGTGAGAAAAGCAAGATGTGGAAAAGGATGTAGAAGGAGCCCACTTCTGTAAAACAATGACCCTCCCTCAGAAATGTGTGGGTGTGTATGCATGCTGAGGACTATGGGAGAGGAAACGAAGTATGGAACGGTACATACAAAGTTGTTAACATGCTTGACGGTGACAGGGGAAAGTCGAGGTAGCAGTAGTGAGGAGGAGAGGAGGGAGGGGGTGGGTAAACAGGCAAAAAACTTAGGAGTACACTTAAATTAAAAATTATAAGTGTGTATGTATAAATTTTTTAAAAGAAGAAGAAAAATAAAATAGTAAAATAGCAAGCATCTTGCTGGGCAGTCATTTTCAGGCCTGGCTAGATGTCACTTGGGGGATTTTTCAATGTGCCATTGCTCAGCCTGCCTCAGAACTTCTGAAATCTTTGGCCTGGAGTGGGGCCTGGCCATGACTTCTGAAGCCCTTCAGGTCATTCCAGCATATGGCCCAGGCTGAGAAAGAACTATGTTTGGGTAACATGACATATGTGAGTAGGGACAATAAACCCCCCACTTCAGAAAAAAAAAAAAAAAAAAGGAAGGAAAAGCTACTGCTCTAATGGAGCCCTAGTCTATTTTATGCCTCAGTTTGCTGATCTGTAAAATGGACATGATAACAGCACCCACCTCACAGCGTTATGAGGATCAAATGAAGTGATATATATGAGGTGCTCTGAAGAGGGCCTGGCCTCAGCAACAGCAACCTAAATGCTAGCTACTGCTATTACTAGTACTATTACTAACATTGCTAGTAACATTATTATTAGTGCTAGTAATAGCAGTTGCTAGCACTTAGATCATCATTAAATAATGATCATGATGAGGAAGAGGAGGAGGAGGAGGAAGAGAAGACCAGCTCTCCCCATTCAGTGAGGCAGCAGGCCCTCCATCTCCATGCAGCCAGAGAAGGGACACCTACCTGTAGAGCAGTAGCTTGTTGAGGCAAGTGTTGATGAGGAGCGAGGGGTCCCGGGCCTCGCGGCTGACCCAGGAGCGAGCAGAGATGCTGGTCACAGGGCTACCCTCATGCACCACCAGACGCTTGGCTTTGGTCAACTTCCCTGTGACAACAGAGTGGGGAGGAGGCAAAAGTAAGGGTGAAGGCTATGTATCAAGAGAGCGTGAGTGCTAGCACACAGATGCAGGCCTAGGGCCTGTCTACCTGTGGCCATGTCGAAGAGGAAAGAGAAAACACTGCCGCGGTCATCGCCTGCCCAGAGCAGCCGGCCAGGGGCGTCAAAGGACAGAGCAAGGACGCGGCCTGTCAGCTTGCTGGAGCCACCCTTCACTTTCTTGCCCGTGGAGATGTTCATGACATGCACGTTGTGCTTGGCATTCCCCACCTGTGGGTGAGAATCGCATACCATCATCCTGTTCCCAGCCAGTCCCTCCTTGAGTCTGACTACAGTGGGGCTGCTGATGGGACCTGCTGCTTCCTACTGGAGTCTAATCACAGTGGGGCAGTGGTAGGTAGACTAGAGGTGACCCAGGCCTCTAATCCTCCTGAACCGGGCTCTTGCAATCTGACCAGAGTAGACAGTTGCTCTGGGGACCAAGGGGGTCGCAGACCCATAGTGTTGCCTCTTGGCCAGCGCCCCCTGAGGTCAGCCAAGCACAGGGCCATCCCAGACCCATGATAATAGTTCACCTGCTCCCTGACTGGTCCTTCCTGGAGCCTTGATTACACTAGGGCTGCTGCTGCTGCAACTGAAAGGATCCCAGAGCACAGGCTCACTCGCCCAGTTCCCTTTACTCCCTTCTCAGGGCCAGGCCAGACTTTTCTTTCCTTCTCCCACTGCCCCCTGCCCTCTGACTCTCTATCCCAGGGTCAGACTACAGTGAAGCTGCCACTGAGACGAGATGAGGTTTCCAGCTAGTTAATCCTGCTCTCCACAACCAGCAGCCCCTGCAGTTGGAAAACTGTAGGACTACTGCTGATGGGACTGAAGGGGTGCCAGACCTGTGACTCCAACCCTGGGGACAGTGGAGCCATCCCAGACCAATAAATGCAACCCCCATTCTGACTCATCTCCCTCTGAGTCTGACCACCAGGGCACTGCGGCGATGGACTAGAGTGACCCCCCTGTACTGATGCCCTGCAGCAGCCCTCCCGGCTTGGCATTCCCGCCCTCAGAGAGCAGGTGCCCTGGAGCCTGACCACAGTGAGGTTGTTGTTGACCGGCTGGAAGGTGCAGCAGAGTAATTCGGCGCCATCAGGGTCAGGGATCTCCCGGATGCAGCGGCCGTCATCAGAGGCCCAGATGCGCATGGTAGCATCGAGTGAGGTGGACACGAGGATGTCATTGGAGAGGGACCAGGCGAAGTCAGAGACACCACGGGTGTGGCCCCGCAGCACACGGAGCACGGTGGGTGGGGCGGGCACCAGCTGGCACAGTGAGATGCTGCCATCGAGTGAACAGCAGGCCAGGCGGTGCCGGTCGTCATTGGCGAAGCGCACCCTTGGTACTGCAATGCCAAGGAGCCACTTGTGGGAGTCAGCACACTCACCAGGTGCTTTCATTTACAAAAAGTTCTGATATGGGAGCTGGAGGCCGGGATCCACTGCACTAGGCACAGTGGCCTCAGCAAGGGGCTTTCCTTGACTGAGAAAGGGAGATGGAACCCCAGAAAGCCCTCTGCCAAAAGCTCCCTACATCTTAACAGGTACTTTATGGACTGCAAAAGACTTCTGTAATGTGAAAAGGCTCCTACATCTCAGCAAGCACTTTACAATTACCAAGGTCTTGGCAGTCTGCAAAACCCGCTCTGTCTTTTGCAAGGGAATTTCTCTGCAGCAAAGGCTTTGAACTCATTCAAGCTACTCACAACCCCAGAAGCCTTCTGCAAAGGGCTCTTTTAAGCTGCTGAGCCCTTTTATGGTAGACAAAATACCTGAGATTTTGCAGGCCACTTTGCAGAGGGCTTTAGATTTGTAAAAAGTTTCATGGATGGCAATTCCACCTTCAGAGGTGGGCTGGAGACTTTACATTCCAGAAAAAGATGCACTGTGTGGTTGTCACAGTTTGGGCAAATGTGTGGTGATGGGACCTGCCATCTACTGGCTCACCTGCCTCATCCACGTGCTGGTCAAAAACATGGTACATGCCCGCAAAGGCATAGTTCTCACTCAGCGATGTGTCCCCAGCCATGGCTCGACTTGCTTCTGCCGCTGACGTGGGCACCACACTGCCAGGGGGCCTGGGCCCCAATAGGAGTGGGAGGGGTTGAGAGGAGGTAGATACTAGCATTCAGCCCACGACTGCCCCATGGCTCCTCTCCTCCTCACAAACCCCAGCCCTCAGCTGCCCATGGTGTATACCTGTCCTCATAGACGGCACGGTTCATCTGTGCCTGCAGCTGGTAGGAGCCTCGGCTGACAGAACGGCGGTGTCCACGGGCCCCCAGGGCCCGAGGATCATCCTCGAAGTCCTGCAAACAGAGGGTGTGGGTGAGTGTATCTTGAAAACAGCCCTGAAGAATCTGTGAGGTCTGGAGCCTTCAAAATATATCCAGAACCAGATCTCTTCTCACCCCGTCCAGTGGCACCACTATCACCTGTACTGTGGTGGCCTCTGCACTAGTTTCCCTGCTCTTGCCCTTGCCCTGCTCAGTAGATACTCAATAAATGTTCCCTGAACAAAGAATGAATTCCATCCACAGTGAACTATTCAGCTCAGTCTCTTGCTTCATTCAAGTATCAGCTCAATTTTCATCTCTTCAGAGGCCTTCCCTCATGATCCCCATCAAAAATAGCTTCCCTCTGTTACCCACACCAGTCTTGTTTTATCCTCCTAGTCTGCTTTATTTTTCGGTCTTAGTACACCTCACTATAAGCCATGGTAATTATCGATATGTTTATCTGGTTTGCTATGTTTATTGACCTATTTATTTCATTTATTGCCTATTTATCAACCTGTATTATCTTGTTTATTGTCTGCTTATTGACTTATCTCATATATTATCTCTTTTTGCCCTCTGCTCATCCTAAGAACCCGCAACAATGCCTTACACATAGCAAGTGCTTGATAAGTTTGTTGAGTGAATGTACACAGAGGCAGGTGGTATGTATGGCAGGCTGTGTGGAGGGAGCTCACCTCCATGCGATCAAGGGTGGTGCGGCTGCTGCGGACGATGCTGTTGCTATAGGCACGAGCACTGCCTGGCTCTGAGAGGGGCCCGTAGCGCTGGCCCAACAGCTGTCCACGCAGCCTCAGGTACTGCCGACGCAGTGCTGGGGGGTGCCCAGCCTTAGCATTCTCTCGCAGTAGCTGGCTGCGCCGTCGAATATATTGTGTCCGAAACTGTGGAAACGTTGGTGTGCGGTAGGCGTTGTACCTGCGATGGCAGTAGGCAGGCGAGCAGCAGGCACAGGACAGAGGGAATCAATCAGCTCAGGGGACGGGGAAGGAGAAGGTGTGTGGCAGTGAGGGGTCAGGATGGCAAGTGATCAGCAGTGGTGATGGAAGTCTCTCTGGTGCTGTTTTAAGAGTGAATCTACAGTAATAATGGGCATGGAGATCAGTGTGGCAACAATGGTGGCAGTTTGCAGCTTTGCTGAAGTTGGATGAGGTGACAATAGTAGGGGTTAGTGTGACATGGTGATGGTGGCTAGTGTGGAGCAATGACGAGAGTGAGTATGAAATGATGATGGGGTCAGACTGGGGAAATGATGGTGATAAGAGAAGTCTAGCGGGCAGTGGTGGAGAACAGGTCAACAGCCTGAGCTCCATCACCCCCTGCCAAAGGCTCTAGTAACATAGCCTCTTTGCGCATGCCCACATCTAACTGCACTTTCCCAGCGTGCTCTTTAAGACCCTCTCTGGCCAGCCCTTCTCACTGCAGGCTAGCCCCGACACCCTGCTACTGCGCATGCACACCTATGGCATGCCCACTCAGACGCATAAGGCAAGTTCTCCGCCCAGCCTCACTTATCACCATTTAGCATGCATCACAGTAACTTCAACTCCCACGGGTTCCGACCCCACGCTCACCTCGCGTCTACTGCTAAGACCTGCTGCCACACCGCGGCCATTCCCCGGCCTCCTCTTCCGGCGTGTCCGCCCGCGGGCGCCTGCAGGACAAGGGCCTGGAATGTCAGCGTCTCAAGCGAAGGGATCTAGTTTCGCCCCTTCTGCCATGCAATCGTTGCCATAGACACTGAGTCCCTCCACGCCAGAATGTCGTGAAACCCCACCCGGCTGTTACTACGGACATCACCCCAGCCCTGCCAGCGAGCGCCGGGATGACTCACAGCAGCGATTCAGACCTGACCCCGCCTCTCCCACGTCGCCATAGCAACGCTCCTCCCCTGCCTAGCAATCCTTCCCCACCCATCTTGCCCCCACCGCTCCCTGCCTTCCCTTCTTGGGTCCAAGAGCAGGGCCCGGGATCAGGGACCACCTCCAGGGCTGCCTCCGGCTCTTGAGGCCCCCGGGGCAGCCCTGAGAGCAGTGTCGCCCTTTCCTTCTGTCTCTCTTCTCCCTCTCTCTGGCTCCAAGCAAGATGGCCGCCTGCTGCCAGGAAGAGCTGCCAAGCGCAGAGCGAACGGATAGGAATCTTCCCCAGAGCGTGGGAGAACCACGCATGCGTAGTAAGGGACAGTAACTTCCGGCGCAAGGACGGAGGCTCCACCCTTCAAGATCTATTCACCGCCCCCCAGTCTCTAATGGCACTTTTGTATGCATGAGAATAATGTCCAAGGACAACAGGGATAGGGGCAATTATGCAAATCACTCATTAAAATTCAGAAATACGACTTCCAAAAAAAAAACCCCATGATTTTATTTTAAAAGAGTGGTATAAGCTGATTGTTAGCAGCACAATCTTGGCCAAGCAAGCTTTGAAGCACAGAATAAAACATAATTACACATGCAGAGGGCCCTAGAAAGTTCTCCAGTTCTTAGAGTGACTGATGGGCCTCCGAGCATCCCTGGATTGAGAAAAGTCCATTCTGTGAGAAGGGTGCAGGTACGATGGGGAGGGGGTTTGGGCTTGGTGTTCCCAGGAAGCTTGTTCTGGACATGAGTCTGTAAAGGCAGAAGACATAGTTAGGCACAACAAACTTTGGGGGTGTGGACTCCAGGAGCCTATCTGAAGCATCTTTATTTCAACTTCAAAAGGAAGCTTCATCTCTATTTATCTTAACGTGATCAGGATATACAATTTACAAAGTTGAAATACAAGGTTTAGTAGCTTCCTACTAAACCAATTAACTAACACAATTCTCAAAACTTATTTTTCACACTATTTTTATGACAAATACTATAATCTGAACAATGTTCTAAAGCTACCTGAAAGGAGACACATCTAAAAACATATCGCTCTTTTTTTGTGTACTAGCAAAACCACACTGTATTGAACTTGGCACCTCCCTTGTCTATGTAACTAAGCTGTTGGTATCTTTCCAGGATATTAAATGGTTGCCGAAGAATAAACTATTTCACTGCACAAATGCGTAACTGCTAACATTTATTGGGCAATGTGCTTGACACTGTTCAAGGTGATTTACATGAATTAATCCATTTAATCCTAATTACTGAATGTTGTGAGTCCTATTACTGTCCCCATTTTACAGACGATGAAATCTGAAGCCCATGGAGTTAGAGGGTGACATTTTATTGAACTGGTCCCCTATTTGTGATCAGCATTTGGGTCCCCCCCGCCCCCCGTTCATTTTGCCATAAAGGATCAATGCCTTTCCCATTCACCTTGATCCTCCCTGTACAGAACTCCTCCTCTTCATCCTACCTCTCAGCTTCCAAAGAAACATGGTAGGAAGAAATCACAGGAGAGTCAGAGATGCCAGAGAGATTTACTGCTGAAATAGATTATTTTGTTTTCACAATATTCATGTTAAAATTTCAAAAAATTATTTTTAAAACCTCATTCCTATAAGGCTACTAGTTAAAATAACCTAATGATAGGGTTGTTATAAGTATAAATGCATAGGAAGTGTTCATAACCCCTGTTGTGTGAACGTTTGCTATTATTTTGAGAGGTAATACAGGTCTTTTCAGAAGGCAGTATAACTTGGCTACTGCCACAGGCTCTGCCAACTAGGAGCTATGTGTTCTTGGGCAAGTCACTTAACCGTTTTGTGACTCAGTCTCCTCATCTAAAAACACCACCTCATAGGGTTATTGTGAGGACTAAATTAGCTAATACTTGTAAAACTTAGACTAGCATCTGGGACAGAGAAAATACCCACTAAATGTTGATTGTTAGTTGTTTTAAAAACTTCTCCCAATAACAGATCCATCTGCCAGAGGTTAGATCTGGTGCAGAAATAATGTGAATTAGAATGACCATAACCACCTCTTGCATTTATGTGCTCTGCAGTTTTTCAATTTTTATTCTTAAGTATTTACACACTCTCATTGGATTAAAAATGGGTTTTGCACAACAAGCTGATGATAGAAGTCACTTTTAGTTTGTCGAGAGCTTGGAGAGAAAGAGACAGAGTTTATCAGCATAAATGGCAGGTCAGTAGGTAGAGAAAGGAGTCTCAGGTTTGGGGGTATCAAGTCATGAGTATCAGCTCCTGGAGGCTGTGAGTGACCTTGGTTACAATCATGACATCTAGAAAGAAGCTCAAGCCCATAGGGGACAGTAAGTCCCATTCACTCTTAACAGGATCAGGGCTACTTTATTGTCAGAATGACAGTTGAGGGTCTTAGCCAAATGAACAAACTAAACTAGATTGGGATAGAAAAGACAGGTAAGCCAGAGCTCTTTGAAGATAACACCGCATCATAGTAGCAATTCAAATGGTGGCAGAAACAGTCAGGAGCACTTCTGTTATGGACTTCTCTTTCCTTCATGAGCCTCCTGCCTATTTGGCCTTCAATGTTTAAAACTGCAAAGGCGAGCACAGACCACACTGGCTGGGGCCGCTTTTCATTACTAACTCAGGCTGAAATGAAACCTGAAGCTGATCCCCATCCTCAGGAACAAACTGAGCATGATTTGAGGGAAAGCCTGGGTAGCTTGAGGTGACAAGGGTATGCTGAGAATCAAGGCAACATGGAGCTGAGGTGTAACTGGAGTGCAGACGCTGAATTCTTATTCACTTATCTCATCTCCGAAGTTTCTTCCTAAATGGGACAAATTAGAACATAAGGTCATAACTTAAATTTTACCATTTCCTGATGGGAAAATATTTACCTCTGAAGCCAAAGTTCTCAAAATCCCCAAAATCTTAATGGTGATAATTCTCCATTGCCTGAGTCAGAATCAAGATTCCTACAGTAGGGAAAAACCTCATCGACCACTTGAACACCCCCAGCAAGCCGAAACAGTGAGCCAGCCTTCCAATACATATTGATCTAGTCCCTACTGGGTGCCAGGCACTAAGGTGACAGCAGTAACTCAGACAAATGGTCCCCACTCTCATGGAGCTGCCATTCTAGCTGGAAAGATAAATGATAAAGAGGATCATTTAGAAATCAGTACTATCATTAAAATAGTTCGGTTAGTATTGCTCAGCTGTGGGAGAAGAGGGGAGGGATGAAAAATAAATTTAAGCTAGAACCTGAATAAAAAGGAACCAGAGATACAGAGCTCTGGATGCTGAATGTGTAGATAAGGCCAGTGAGGATGGTCAGTGGCTAGTTCTGAGGAGAAATCACTTCACAGGGCTAGAACTTGGCTAGAACTGGGGCCACTCTGCCCTTAAGATTTCTATTCTTTTTTTATTTTTTTTTAAAGCCTACAGCACCTGGTATTCGTAGGTGGTATCCCATCCAAGTAGGTGGTCTCCCATCCAACCCTGCTTAGCTTCCAAGATCAGACACGATCAGGCACGTTCAGGGTGGCATGGCTGTAGACAGATCTCAATTCTTTTTACCCAGTAATGGATTTGGGGCCCAACTGTAGGCTTGGGAAAGACTGGACCCTGGGTTTGGTACCTCAGTCCCAGGCAATATAGCTAAACGGGCATAGCCCTTGGTTCTTCCTATTTTTTTTCCTGCTAATACACTGAACTATATCTCATTGCTTTTTAAATGTTAAGCCAAACTTGCTTTCCTGGGATAAGCCCCATTTGGTTTTGGTGACAACCTGCATTTACTGAGATCTTACTACATCCATCTTATGTAATTGTCACAACTGCCCTAATGAAGTAGGTGCGACATTGAGCTCCACTTTCAAGGTGAGAAAAGTGAACCCTAAAGGAGTTTACTGTCCATAGCCACAGAACTAGCATTTGGACCCAGGCAGGAAGTAGAACTGGACTGTTTCTTATCCTGGACACTGGAAGCCACTTGGTAATCAGCCAGCAGTGTTGACGATAGCGCCCCATCCCTCTCTCTTCTCTCTCTGTGCATTCCTCTGCATCAAGTCCCAAATAAATTTCCGCTCCTGTCTCTCTTCCAACCTCCTGCATTGGTAGATACACCCTGAAATCCACAATGGCCCCCAGTTGCTGTGAAGAGAAGCTGCCCTCTTAGGCCTCCTCTCCAACTTCATCCCTTGTTGCTCTTCCTTGATCAGAATCTGTTCCAGCCACACTTTCTTGCACATCCTTTGAAAACTGCACAAACCATTCCTGGGATCTGGAACGCTCTCTCCTGTGCACTCATGCAGTGAACATGCCAACTCATCCTATAGTAATATTACTAATACCAAGCACATTATGCCAGGTACTATTCTAACCACTTTAAAGAAAGAAAACCTTCTTTAATCCTCACAACAACCTTATGAAGGTGGTACATTATCCCATGTCACAGATGGGGAAATGGAGTCAAAGAGATTAAGTGACCTGCCCAAGGTCACACAATAAGTGATGGAGTTGGACTTGCACCCAGGCCACCTGGTGCCAGAATTCTTGCTCTTAACCACTGGACTTTTTAACACCAACTGCCAAATTACTCTGTGAGCTTCTCCAGTATGGATTCATACCAAGTACTTTCTCTCCTCCACCTTCCTCTTTTGATCTGTCAGCAAATCCTGTCAGTCCCACCTTCAGAATTTATCCAGAACCTGACCTCTCTTCTCCACATCCACTGCCACCACTGCCAGGACTACTGCAGTGGCCTCCTCACTACTTCTGCCCTTGCCCCCTCCTCTGTCCTCACAGCAGCCAGAGAGGGTCCTGTTACAAATCAAGTCAACCCAAAGGCCTCCTCTGCTCAGACCCCTGCTGTGGCTACAGCTTTCTCAGGAAAAAGGCCAAAGTCTTCCCCATGGCCAGTGAGTCCTGACAGGACCAGGCCCCTGTCACCTCTCCAACTTCACCTTCTGCCACCTGTCCCCCAGCTCTCTCTGCTCCCACTGCACTTACACATACCAAGCAAGCTCCCACCTCAGGGCCTTTGTACTTGCTTGCTTTTCCTTCTGCCTGTAATTTCCCTTTCCCAGAGGCAAGGCTGACAGATTTGGCCAGTAATGAACCCTTATTCCAGTCAAAGTTATTTGCTACTTACATAGACAGCAAAAGCAGGAATAGCCACAGATGCCAGCTCATGTCCCTTGTGTAACACTGAAACAAAAGGGGCCAGATGGCTACAGCATGAGTGGTAGGACACCCTGCTGCAGAGGAGCTAATTCCATGCTAAGCAGTTCTATAGCCCTAAGTTGGGGGAGAAGGACAGAAAGCCTCATACCTCACAAGATCTCAGGTGATAAGATACTGTCTCATGATTACCACCTTGGTAGATAGAAAGGTTTATGAGAACTAGCCTCAAAGCAGTTCCTCACAAGCCTTTCATGCTCTGTGTTCTGAAGATCACAAGGAGTTCTGCCAATACTTAGATCAGCTTGCCTACGTGGCTTACGTGGAGACACGCAAGGCATCCAGAGTGCCATGGCGAAATCATCCCCCTACACCAGATATCCTCCTCCTTGCTTGCTTTCCCTCTATCTGCAGGTGTTTGTTGTAAGGTCAACTCCTGAGTTGCCTTCCCTAATTACCCTGTGTAAAATACATTCCATCACTCTCCACCCGCTTTGTTTTCCTTAATGCTTGCCACTTCTTAACGTTACATTGCACACCAATTTACTACTTTAGTGTACGTAGACCCCACCAATACATGATTCCTGAAATTTGAAATATCCTTTGCTGTGTCCCTATTATCTGGTACGCATAGCAAATGCTAACAGTTACTAACCATATCTACCTACCAGACACTGTTCTAGGTGTTTCCTATGTCTTGGCTCATTTAATGGGTATTATTCCCGTGTTACAGGTGGAGACAGAGTTTTAGAGACCCTGGGTTTTGGAGGAGGGAAGGCAGGAGGACCTCTGGTGCTGGGCAAAGGGATGGATCTTCTGTCTGGAGAAGCCAGAGGGGTCCTGAGGGGAGAGGAAGCAGGAAGGAGTTCTGGGGCCATTATTTGGAAAATATTACGGAATGTCAGATGTCAAGAAATAGAAGCTAGCATTTATAGAGCAGGGTGTCTTGAGGCCCTTGGAGAAGAAATTCTTGCAGCTAGGGAGAGGGCTTTGGGGGAAGGGCAGGCCTGTAGAAAACAAATGACAGCTACCCACCTCCCACGCCAATGTGGAGATCCAACAAACCACTTCTGTAACAGTTTTAACTTTTTATTATGGAAAATTTCAAACGTACAATTGTATTGATAGAATAGTCATGTAGCTATCACTCAGATTCAACAATTATAAACACAGCATTTTTCAAACTGCAGGTTCCATGAGCATTTGAATGGTTTGGGGTGAGCTTTGTTAAAATACAATAAACTAGGAAACATTAGGGAACATTCCATTCATTAAACCTTTCTTCCACTTACACAGAGAAATGGGTAGACTGGACTCCAATGAAGAGAAATATACTTCTTACTATGGATTACAGTCATAAAGTTTAAAATAGACTGCAAATTCTGTGCTTGGATAACTATTAAGAACTAGACAGAATAGAAATGCAAATCAAAACCACAATGAGATACCGTCTCACACCTGTTAGATTGGCTATTATCAACAGGACAGATAATAACAAGTGGAGAGGATATGGAGAAAAAGGAACCCTCATACACTGCTGGTGGGACTGCAAATTGGTACAATCACTGTGGAAAACAGTATAGAGGTTTCTCAAAAAAATAAGAATTGATTTACCATATGATCCAGTAATCCCTCTACTGCGTATTCATCCAAAAAACTTGAAAACATTTATCTGAAAAGATATGTGCACACTGATGTTCATAGCAGCATTATTCATGGTGGCCAGGACATGGAAGCAACTGAAGTGTTCTACAATAGATGACTGGATAAAGAAGATGTGGCACATACATATAATGAAATATTACTCAGCTATAAGAGATGAAATACTGCCATGTGAGACAACATGGACAGACCTCGAGATAATCATGCTAAGCAAAATAAGCCAGACAGAAAAAGTTGAAAATCACATGTTATCATGTGTACGAGGGACATAAATCTAAGGGCAACAAACATGACAGAGACTCATGGACAGTGGACTAGTGGTTACCAGATGGAAGGGGTAAGGGGGGAGGTAGATAGGGGTGAAAGGGTCAAATATGTGGTGATGAAAAGAAATCTAACTATGGGTGGTGAACACACAATGCAATGCAATGCCCCACACACACACACACACACACACACACACCCCTTACTGTTGAATCGTACACTTAAAACTTAAAAAAGAACTAGACAGAGTAAAAGAAACTTTCAGAGATGAGTTTTACTTAAAGGAAGTTTAAAATTGAGTTAAAAATTTGACTTAATGACATATTAGAAACGTTTATGCAGAACAATGCCACAGATTTTCATAAACAATTTAGAAGACTTAACTTTGTGTATTCACCATATATTGAGGCTGTGCCTCCACCCATAAGATCTAGGGAGCCTCCCCATAACCACTAACATTTCTCCAATATGTTGTATGCATATTCACGGAGTGGAAAAAATAAAGATTATGAAAAAGCTTCAGGTCAGGTCTTATCACCAAAATTGAAAAAAATCCCTCCTGATTTTTCAGATTTTGGCACACCCTGAATTATAAGGGATCATGGCCCTTATGTTAGCCTGGGGAAGGGTAGGAGGTGGAAGAGGAATGCAGCTGGGCAGGGATATGGCATGTTTTGTCTTGATAAGCAGAGGAGTGGTAGAAACAGTGGCTACTGATCCTTATCCAATGCTTTTTTACATACCTGAAGTTTTCACAGCAACTTATTTTAAAAAGCTATTTGAAAACTTTCTACATCCCTAAATCCAGAATGGGGGGGTGGGCAAGGGTGTGGGGGTAGCAACAGGGATCTACCCTGTTCTATACACATTACCTATCACCCTTAAACTCACCATCAGGTGGGCACTATTAGTCCCATTTTATACATTTTGAACTGTAGGCAAAGAAATTTAGAAAACAGGATCTGAACAGTGATTTTAGCCCACATGGGGTGGGAGATGTCTATGGGATGTTTCTATCAAAGCTTTTGGTATAAGCAAGATCCAGGGCTTGAAAATACAAGTATTTGCAGCAGGCCAGGGATCTGGCCTTGGGGCACAGGTTCTCAAGGCACCGAGTGTTTGGGAGTTTCTAGTTTCAGTGGGTTCTTGGGAAACGTATTAGTGAGACCCTGGTCAAATTTAATCAGAGGACGAATAGGTACTTCAGTCTTAAAATTTTATCCATCAGTGATTTTAGAGCCAGAGAAAACCAACTGTGAAATCTTCTACAGAGGTCTCTTTCCTTAGAGCAAATAGGAAAAGACTGGGTCTCCTTGGGCTGGGTAACAAGGCACCTTTTGAAACCAGGAGCAGAACAGGTTGATCTTGTTATAGGGGGTCATTTTGTTGCAGGAAATTTGTGGTTATAAGATTCTGTCTCAGGCCACACTGCGAGTGAAAGGGACATTTTACTCTCCGAGAGGTAGGGAGTAGAGATGCGCCCGTTTCCCACAAGGCAGTTATGGTGGTCCTGCCAGCTCCCACTGCCTCAATTCCCTGAAGGACTAGCACAATAAGCCTCCTCAGACCAAGTACCCAACTGGCAGTAGCTACAGTGCTACTCCTGGGCCTTGCTCAGTAGAAGTAGGACCACCTGGGTGTTAGAATCTTCCATGGGGCCTGTCCCAATGAGCTAGGAGACATGGGAAGCAGACCACCTACCTGGGATTCTCACAATACAGGGACCCAGTCAGTTTGGGCTACTCAACAGACTGGGTGGCTTATAAATTTCTCAGTTCTGGAGACTGGAAGGCCAAGATCAGGTGCCAGCAAGGTCCAGCTCTAAGGGCCCTATAACCTATCACCAAGGTGGCCATAACACTTTCTCGTATCCTCACGTGGTTTGGAAAGCAGAAGTGGGAAGATGTCTCTAATCCCACAATGGTAGCCCCACCCTTATGACCATGTGTCACCTTCCAAAGGTCTCACACTTCCTAATACAATCACATTGGGGAGGACACCAACACATTTTGAATCGGTTAACACATATCCGATATGAGAATAGGGCAGTTTAGAATGTCCTAGAACTTGCAACCTGGTGGTACTTGGCTCATCAGCCAGGTGGAAACCAGGGCACAAGTGATTAGAAAGAAACTCCAAATGGTGGGTGGCCAAAGTCCATGGGACTCCAATGCAGCCACTAGAATCTGGACTAAAGGCATAATTGAGGAACTGAAGACTAGCTAGTGTTGCAAAACCTTTACCCTCAACAGAAAGTGTAAAATGCCTAGGAGGCTAAGGCACACTGGTTAAATGACTCACCAAAATAGCTGTGAACCATCAGGAACCAAAGTTTGAACTCTTAGAACCCTGTTCTCAAAACAGGATTTTCTTGAGACCCTCATACTAAGGTGAGTTTAGTATATACCATTCCCATGCCACATCGCTTCAGGGGAAAAAACTGGAACCATTATTTAGGGCAGGTTTAGCTTCTACCAAATGCTCACATTCTCAGGACAATCCTGTGAGGGGGGCACTGACCTTATGCTCAGGAAAACTAAGATTCAAACCCAAGCAGTCTTGATTCGTAAGCTGACTCTGGTCAAGACGATGGTACCTGGAGATCATCTCGGGAAAACCAATTCCAGCCATTAGGGGATTTCACCTGTAGCTATCCTCACCCCAAGGCTTCATGTACGGGCAATACATCATTTTATTACACTTCATAGATGTTGCATGTCTTACAAATTGAAAGCAAGGTCCTCTACCAGCAAAAAGACTGTTTGGCTTTATTGAGATTTACTGTGGTTTGTAACTGAACCCACAACATCTGAGGTATGCCTGTATACTCAAACCAGTCTCAAACTCAACCACTTTAAACTTGAGGTCTCTGCCCTTTTGTTAATCTTCATTTTTATGAATTAAATTGAAAAAAAAAAAAAAAAACATTATCATTATCGATTTAACAGGTTTCATCTTTTTAATCGGCTCCATGAAGGACATCCTAAACGCTATGAGACACAACAGAATTTTTTTCTTCCAGTATTAAAAAAATGACATTCACAAATATTTTTAAGAAACTTCTATGACCAGGGTGGTGATTTTCAGTTAAAAAAAAATCTAAGTAACCTTCTTGATTCCTGTAATCACATTTGGAAATAACTTCCTAACCATGATATTCATTGTATGAGTTTTTAAAATGCCGCCTAGATACACATTATTTCTGAAAAATAAAAAGTCCGGCCACACATTTTTTTTTTTTGCCAGAACCAATCCTGATAGCCCAAACTAAAAACTGGTAAAAGGAAAAATACCCAGAGACTCTATAAACGTCTCAGAATTTATCTTTAAACAGGAGAAAAAATTTTAAAAACACATGGAGCTTTCTAAAAGGTCTTTAGCAAGCTACCTTGGGAGCTCAATTAAAAAATAGAAGTCGATATACTAAAACAGATGTTTCAGTGCAGCTCCAAAAATCTTTATAAATACAGCCATTTGGAAGGATGATCCTGGATCAGAAGTTTTATTCCTTGTGTATCTGAGAACAAATAACAATGGAGAGAACTGTGATGTCAGGAAGGAATAAATAGGCTAACATGCTCACCTCCTGGGACTGATAAGGATACTGAGGGCTGACAACAAGGACACCCCGCTCATCTCCGTGCCCAGCAAATTACAGGGAAGACAGGTTTTCAGACACCTCTCCCCTGCCCCCCTGCCCCTGGCAGACTAGCCCTAACAGGTACATGAGATCAAGGGAGGCTTAGGAATGGTGTCAGGTGGGCCAAGTGAGGTATGTGCAGGCAGGGGGGTGGGTGGGGTAGGGGAAGGTGAGAGGAACATGATAGGGCTGGTGAACAGAGATCTGTTCAGTGGCAGTATACACATCTCACCTACATTAGGTGTGCATGCCTCATCTCAGTTGTCATAATTGTCTCTGTAATTTCCTCCTGAGTAGCGGTCATAACCACCCTGGCTTCTGGGAAAAAACAGTGTGTTATAGGAACGCCATCAAATACCCCTAAATAACGTTAAAAAACATGTTTGCATATCCCATCACTTCATATATTATCAACTTTTATATGTATAAAACAGGAGGTTAAAAATAGATATCATGTAGAAATCACAGAGTACATAATCTACACAGCACATATCGACCGTGAACACGATACACCACATACAATAAACATACCTACCATATATTGCAATTATATGATCTTACAATCTGTTAACGTATTATACGTTAACCTGAAATGCTAAGTTTCATACTTGTTTTACAGTGCCAATTTGTAAAAGCAAACACTAATCATGATGAGATTATGTATGACCCAGGCAGCCTCACTCTTGAGAAAAACAGCACCAGAGTATCCTCCAACCCCTTGGCTACCCACCTGCCACCATAGTCTCTGGACCTTCCATATCCATATCCATATCCTCCAGGTCGACTGTCATACCTGCCACTCCCATAGCCCTGGTCACCACCACCTATGGCACATAAAAAAGATTTAAGTTGTAATGGAATTGTCCAGACATATTCCACTAAGAGGCTGCTGTCCTCCACACCCTGTGACCAAATTTACCACTGTACTTACCTCTAGAGTAGCTGCGACCACGCCCATGGGCCCCAAAGGCACCCCCTCTAGTTCCCCGGGCTGATTTGCCTGCGTGGTCCACACGGATCTGGCGACCGTCCAGAGACTAGGTGTGGGGAGACACAAAGAGGAGGATGGGTTGGTGGTCACACAGGGTAGTGATGAGGGAAGAGTGGGCAGGGCAGGCGGGCAAAAGAGCCCAGAAATTCTTGCTAGGCACCAGGTTCTGGGTGCCATGTTCCAGAACAAGCTCCTTTGACCAGAATGGCCTTAATAGGAGCTACAGAATCCCACAAAATGACCTGAATCCACCATGTTCCCCTGCTACTACTTACATCTTGACTGAACTCAGGTGAGTTCTCCTCCCCACTCCTCTAAGCTGCCCAACTATTAGGGCTAGATAGACACCTCTCTTGGTCTGAGGCTTCAGAGTCCGTCCCAGAAGACTCACGAGGTCCTCTCCGGGCCAGGCCCGCAGGTTTGCAGACTCTACTACCTAAGCCCAGGGCAGGTCAACCATCCACGGGTGGCTTCTCGGCCTCATGCAGGACCAGTCGTCGCCTCCCAGGTAGCCCGGCTCTGTCTGCCGCTGCCCTCCACCCCCTAGAACAGAAGGCAGTCATGCTCCTGTGAGTGGGCACTGTGGGATTTGGTGGCCACGCTGCCCCTAGCATACAGAGGGAAAAACAGAAAGACTGGTGGAAGTGGCGGATGGGGGCAGAGCCCTTACGCAGGTAGAAGGCCTCACCTCTCCATTCATGGCTCTCATGGCATCTGAGGCATGTTCTGGATTGGTGAAGGTGATGAAACCAAAACCCCGGGATCGCTGAGTCTCCCGGTCCTTGACAACAACCACTGGTGAAACGAAAAAAGATAGATAAGAGGAAAAGAGGAGTGTTAGATAGAGAATGGACCCCACCCACCAATCCTCAATTGAGTTCCCAGATTCTCCAAAGCCTAAGCCTACACTTTAAACCTAGGAACAAAGTTAAAAAAAAAAGGAATATGTGAAAGCCTAAGATCCTGACCTTTCTGTTTAAATGCAAGAGTCCCAGACTACTTCTCACCATCCCCATCATGAGTCTGACCCACATCTCACCCTCAGAAATAGGTCCGAAGCTGCTGAAATGATCTTCCAGAGCCTGCTCATCCGTGTTGAAGTTGAGCCCTCCAACGAAAAGCTTCCCTTCTTCAGAGGACATGGCAGTGATTTCAAGTCCTGTGTGGAGAATACGGAGAGGG